ATGGCAAAGAAGCCATGCTAATCTACTTATCTTTTATGTCACATGTAGGAAACCGGCAGCCCGCAGAGAGAATCGGAATGTAATGCCTAACTAGACAAACGGGAGTTTGTACTCCGTCACGCTTCTGCATTCATATTAAAATAAAAGCAAAATACGCGCGAGGCTAATAGAGAAGAATCTGGAAAATACTTCCACACTCTATGTCAGTGACATAAATCCAGAATTCAACAATCTTGTGTCAAAAGCTTAAGCCCAGACCTCACATTAACCTGCTGTTGCTTACTTTTTGTACTGCATGAACAAACTAACAAAAACTTATCCGTTTTTATGCATTTTTGCATCTTATGCAAGTGCAAAAAAGCATAATGTCGAGAATACCTGTGTGTGCGTCCGGTGCGTAAGTTTTGTCACCCACTTTCAACTCAGCAAAGGAGAGTACCATGATGCAACACTATCGTCCCAGCCGGCGCCCCTTTTTCCCTTCATGCAAGAAAAGACCAAAACACAAGCACCTAAGTTGCATTTGTTAAACTGTAAAGCAACAACCATTCATATTGTTAACGATCTGATTGCGTAAACATTAGCGCAAAAACGCATGGTCGCACCAGCAAGCCTGGTGCATTGCTATCCGAGTTTTGTTAAAAGGTGGCCCGCGAGCTCAAGTATGTAAATCTGGTCCGCATGCTGCCAAAGATTAACTGAGCCCGCTGTATGTGTTCGAAAATTGAATAGGGACTACCACCCTTACATACGCATTTTAATGCATTTTGTGCTGTGCAGCAGTAGTACAAAACACATATTGTCACGGGGTTGTCTGTGTGCCCCACATTTTGTCCCGCACTTTCAACTCGGGAACTACAAAAGCTAGGCGGCTGAAATTTTGCTATAGTGTTCCCCGCTAGCGGGTGACGCGGCAAATTTAAATCCAGTCTTCCCGTATCCGCGGGTAACACGTACGGCCCCGTGAAAGTTTTTTACGGGTAAATTAATAGCACAGGAACCACGGAGTTTAGGAGGCTGAAATTTTAGGGTAATGAACCCCTGCCTACGCTCACCCTTGCCCATTCAAATTCAGCGTTTTTGCGTTCTCGAGTGCCACCTACGGCCTCGTGAAAATTTTGGCGAGTAAACTATTAACTCGGGAATCACGGAAAGATTTTCATCCTTCAAGGTTTTGAATTCAGCTTTTATGCACTGGTGCGTGAAATTTTTAACTGTTTTCCAATGTTTGAACTATTTTTG